TTTAATTTTTACATTTTATAGTCAAATGGCGTTTAGAATGTTGACGACAGGAATATGTTTCAATAACATTGGGCATCTCTGTTCTGTACGTAAATGATTCTCCAACTTCGTCGGCGTGCCGGGAAAGCATTTTAATTTTATGTTCAAAAGACTAGGGTTGGCTCATGAGATTCAAGACTTTTTGAAATAGATCCAACTGATTCGCATGGAAAAATTCAAATTGGCGAAGAACATGTTGAACAACACTGCAGTGTTGCCAAATAATGAGGGTATACAAGTAAATGTGTATTCTTTAATCGTTTAAACTCCGTTGGATCTACTGTAGTTTAAAAAGCCTCAATGCTTATTATGAACCAACCCGGGGATCAATCTGTTTTATCTTCGCCCGGAATTAATGATTTTAAAATTCTGGAGCTTTTATTTGAAGTCCGAAACTCGAATTTTCCTGGTACCACAGATTCTTTCAGCGTTTAAAATGCGAACAAATTAATTGCATAAATTATCGCTTGTGGCAGTAAACTGAATTTCAATCGTCTTTACGGGTTTTTCAACCTGTCCATGGAAAAATTGTGAAGATTGAAGTAAAATGTTCGAATGATGTTTGCTAAAAATGACGTCCATCTCTTAAAGAAATCGAACAGAATTCAGACTCGGGAAGAACACGACTGGCAGAATTTCTGAACCAACCCTCGAAATTCGCGGTGTTTATTGCATTTACCGAGCCACATCAGAGCTTGAGCAAGAAGAAAGGAAATTGCCTTGTTTTCCTTTGAATTTATGCTGTTGTATGCTGGTTGATTTGTGGGTTAATATTGTTGAGGCATATAGGAAGTCGTTTCGCTTGGATATGAAGAGTTGATGAGAGAAGTTTCCTTAATAGAGACGCTCGCGAAGCATTTCTCTTCACCAGGAAATTGAAGGAAACACCATCACATTTCCTTCAAAGAAAAAACGTGTAAGGTAAATTCTAATAGAAAAGCTTTCCGATATCTAGCAAGTTATGCGAAGGAGAGCTTCACTTAACAATAGTACCGCTACCTTCCTTACTCTGTTTGTACAAAATCTATTAATAGTTACGTCGAATACTCTGAAAGCAACAGGCTTTTGCTTTGATTTTCCGACGATAAGTGTTCGAAAACATGTTGTTTCCTTCTCTGAAGCAGTTGGAGAAAATCAGCGAGCTATTTCATCAGTGCAAGCATACTGTAATGTTTCCTAGTCAAACACGTTTCTGCGCATTCAAATGATGAGCTTTTTAATGAATTTGATCTCAGCATTTTCAGAGATTTACGTTTCGAAAAAAAAAAAACCTGTCAAGGAGGGAACGATGGAACAATTCGTGCTTTCTCAAATCGAAGTTTTTACAACTTCCTTGTTGAACCTGAAACCAAATGTTTTTTTTTTCTTATCCGTAATCATGCTGCAGCAGTCCTCGGATTTTTGTATGTCTTGTTAAGTCATCGAAACCAGATTCAACGTGAAAGTAAAAAATTACGTTTGTATGCCATAATTTAATAAAAAAAACGACGCCCACTTTTTCTCAAAATTGAGAGAAAAAACGTGGTGAGCTTCATAGATGGTGGTGAAGTTTACAAAAAATATTGGGAGCTTTGGTGCGTGTCACACTTGAATATGATGGTAAGTTTTGACAGGGACCTTTAAACAAATCAAAACAAACAATCGACTGAATTCAGTTGGAATTCGTGATCAAATCTGAATTGCGTTATCTGTTTTTGTGCCTTCTAGCGTGGTAGTCTTCGTGTAAATACTTTAATAAATTTTCTCTATAGATTTATTACGGATGTGCAACAGGTCCCTTCTTGTATGTTTCATGAAAGAACTAATTATTCCTTATCTGCGTATGTTGTACATTGTGAACTGCAGGAACATGCGGAAAATTATGACTCGAACTTACAATACGATAATCGATTGTGTTTCGACGAACTTGCAGTGTCCATTCTGCTAATCGAGCTAGTGACCATGAAAAATTAAACTAGCCAGTCGTTGAAGCTCTCGAACGCACGAACTATTTTGCACAACAACTGGAGCCGCACTTTTCGCTCATAGATGATTGATTAATTTAATGATCATGAGTTGTCGTATATTCGAGTCTGCCACTGACGCCCGCCCGAACGCTTATTTCTTTTATTACTGATCGCCCGAACCTTTTTATATTTGTTTTCGTGATACTCTCGTGACCCGTGTATGCATACATTTATTTAGTTAAGGCTGACGAAATTGGCGAAACCCGCTGATGGTCAAGCGCAACAGGCCGGAGTGTCGACCAACAGCGTGCAGCCACACGCGACGACGACGACGACGACGAAGCCCCGGAACATAAGCAGCAACCCGTTCCTTAACGACCAGCAAAACTCGTTTAGGGATGCTCTTCAAGCAGCGAGTCCCGCGACGCAGCAGCAGCAGCAGCAGGCGGGCCGTGTGACCCAAAACATTCGGGTCAAAGCCAGGCCGCTGGACTCCCCGAGTCCCGACGACTATGACCTCAAATGAACAAATGCTCTCGTTTTAAGCCCCCCCCCTTTTTTTTTTTTGGTGTGTCCACTGCTCCTGCTGCTGCCGGGGGGAGAAACCGTGTGCGAAGAATGGTTCAACAGTTCTGTCAGTATAATTAGGCGGGCCGTGTGACCCAAAACATTCGGGTCAAAGCCAGGCCGCTGGACTCCCCGAGTCCCGACGACTATGACCTCAAATGAACAAATGCTCTCGTTTTAAGCCCCCCCCTTTTTTTTTTTTGGTGTGTCCACTGCTCCTGCTGCTGCCGGGGGGAGAAACCGTGTGCGAAGAATGGTTCAACAGTTCTGTCAGTATAATGTATACCTTGTGTACAATACTCCACTCGCGAATAATCGAGCTCTTGGGGCACAATGTACACTTGTGCTTTTGAGTTTGAATCCTCGAAATACTGTAATAGCTACACAGCTTTATGTTCATGTCCTCATGTGCTAAGCGCTTTTGTTCATGAACTATTGCAGGCCTGACTTTTGGGGGAATAATTTCTCGGCATTCGACACAAAGGAACGGTTTTCACGTCGTGACCTAATGCGAACATTTTCCGAAATCAGGACAATTTTTAAACATAAACATAGAATACTGCATAAAATTTACAAATTAAATTTAAATTAAATTTAAATTAAATTTGTAAATTTTATGCAGTATTCAAATTTATGTTGCTTTGAATGTTTACAATTGGAAAATGTTTCAATAACATTAGGCATCTCTGTTCTGGACGTAATTGATTCTCCAACTTCGTCGGCGTGTCGGAAAGCATTTTAATTTTATGTTAAAAAGACTAGGGTTGGCTCATGAGATTCAAGACTTTTTGGATCCAACGGATTCGCATGGGAAAATGCAAATTGGTGAAGAGTACGTTGAACAACACTGAAGTGTTGCCAAATAATGAGGGTATACAAGTAAATTTGTATTCTTTAATCGTTTAAACTCCGTTGGATCTACTGTAGTTCAAAAAATCTCAAACCTTATTAAAAATCAAACCGCGGATCAATCTGTTTCAGCTACGCCCGGAATTTAATTCAAATTTTGGAGCTTTTATTTGAAGTCCGAAACTTGAATTTTCCTGGCCCCACAGATTCTTTCAGCGTTTAAAATGCGAACAAACTAATTGCATAAATTATCGCGTGTGGGAGTAAACTGAATTTCAATCGTCTTCACGGGTTTTTCAACCTGTCCATGGAAAAATTGTGAAGATGGAAGTAAAATGTTCTAATGATGTTTGCTAAAAATGACGTCCATCTCTTAAAGAAATCGAACAGAACTCAGGCTCGGGAAGAGCACAACTGGAAGAATTTCTGAACCAACCCTCGAAATTCGCGGTGTTTATTGCATTTACCGAGCCACATGAGAGCTTGAGCAAGAAGAAAGGAAATTGCCTTGTTTTCCTTTGAATTTATGCTGTTGTATACTGGTTGATTTGTGGGTTAATATTGTTGAGGCATATAGGAAGTCGTTTCGCTTGGATATGAAGAGTTGATGAGAGAAGTTTCCTTAATAGAGACGCTTGCGAAGCATTTCTCTTCGCCAGGAAATTGAAGGAAACACCATCACATTTCAAAGTTTCTTTTTTGCACATTCCATTTAAGATTATCTTTTCGAAAGGCTATAGATCGTTCAATACGCTTCCTCTCGAAGTGAATTGTTATCATGGCGATGGAAGGAATGAGACAAACATGTTTTAGATTATTTTCAGAGATTTACGTTTCGAAAAAAAAAAAACCTGTCAAGGAGGGAACGATGGAACAATTCGTGCTTTCTCAAATCGAAGTTTTTACAACTTCCTTGTTGAACCTGAAACCAAATGTTTTTTTTTCTTCTTTTGTATGAGCCAAACTCATTTTTCTTGAGCCTATCCATGTTCAAACTGCGGATCAAAGACGAAGGGGATAATACTGTGTACCCCAGACTGTAATTTTCCATAGCCACCTATGGAAAATTATCCAAGCCTATGTGGAAGTATTTTGCCGAAGTCTGGGTTGTTATTCTGTGTGCGGGAATATTTTACTGATGTTCATATTCGGTTCAAGATTTTTTCCACAAATTTTCTCCAGAAAAAAGCGCAGACATATTAGGAAAGGAGAAAGAAAGAGAGAGAGAGAACTGAGCAGAATATTCCACATGTACATATTCATGCGAGAACGAATCGAATTTGGAGACCTTCATGCATGACAATTCTCGTTCTCAACTCCCAAATCGCTTTGCTTTCGAGTCCATCATCAGGAATATCTCCACACATATATAAAAGGAAATGCGTGTATATTAGAATACATTTTCGTCTCAGTGTGGAAAAATTCTTGATCTCGACAATAATAGCAGGAAAAAAATCCGAATTTTTGATGGTTTTACCGTATATCGCACATGAAAAAAAAAACGAGCTGCGACACACACGAGGTGCTTTTTTACTGATGGGTCAACGTTGCTGCTGACGGTGATGAATCGATGTTAACCAAGCTTTCTGATTTGTGTTACCCCTGTTCCTGGCATTGTGACATCGCATCTGATGAGAGGAATCAAATGAAAATTACCTTGCCATGCTTCGTGTGCAATTTATTATTCCGAGGAATAAAAGTGAAATATTTTTTTTTTTAGCGTAGGTCACGCAAGACTTTTCTCACGAAGGGAAATGCTGATTAGATCAGCACACATTTGATTTATCAGTTTCAAGCACTTTTTTCAAAGGCAGCCTTCGTAAAGGCAGTCGAAGAACTTGTCCACGCTGACGTCGATGGATTCGTCAGTTTGAAAAGTGCCGAACTGCGAGTTGCATTTGTCAACGTGCTCCAGAGCTGCTTGTTGTGCTTCGGGAGCGAAATATTTTCTCACGTCCTCCTGATATTTGTGAAAAAATTAAATGCATAGATATTTAAAAAAAATGAGAATCGCTTCTTTCACTCACTTTTATTTTGTCGGCTCTTATTCCGGTCTCTGCGTCATTCAAGAGCCCGCTGCTTTTGGTCAAACAGCGTACGAATTCGGTTTTGCTGTTGCCCAAAGAGGAAATAAAGTCTTTGAACCATTCGTTGATTTTGGTGACGATATTTGCGTGCTCAAAACATTCCTGAGTTACGTTGTCAGGAGACCAGGCTAGAGTGATTTTTCCACACTTCTGAATTTCCATCCTGAATAAATAAAAATGAAAAAATGGGGGTTATAAGAAAAGTTACGCAACGGACACGTGGAAATTGCGGAACATTCAGTGTCAAACTGTCACTTCGTCTGACACCAGGCAGTCGAATAACTCTTAAAGGAGAAATGACAAAATTTCCAAATTCATCCTCTTCATTGCATTTTTTTTCGAATTATTCTTTACATTTTGTTTCATGGATTGAAAATGGGTAATTTTGGCAGTGGATGGCATCTTCGCACGAAGGTTGAGCCCCTACATTACAACACACTTCCACTGATTAATGTTTGCTGGCCCGCAAGTTTTCTAACGCATAATTTTCTTTTTTATCGCTGTTTTGGCACAGAAAGTCTTTTCAGGAAAATGAGAGCACAAATTTAATTTCAGCGGCGACCAATAATAAGTCCCTCACAGTTATAATCTGAAAAAGTTTGCACGAGCCACACGTAAGAAAAGGTATTCAGATCAACTAGAATTAAAATTCGGGAGATTCTGTGGACGGAAAAATCGTGATTGAACTTGTGTTTGAAAATTTTTAAGCTCAAGGTTTTGTCGTTGTTTCGGCACAGAAATCGTTCTAGAAAAAAAGATACCGTAATTTCAAGTTTGGTGGCGATCAATAACTGATCAATCCAAATGATTATTTCACAATTCAGCAGGCGGAATACGCCAGAAAAAGAATTCAGATCAACTAAAAGTACTTCGGAGGAGATTCTGTGGAAGGAAAAGTTGTGATTGAATTCGAGCTTGAAAGAGATCAAGAATATTCAAAATTTTTCCCGCGAAAGCCTTCGATTCAAGCGTTTCGTTCATGAATTTGCAATTATTCTACATCAACCGTCGATATATTGAACTATTATTACCTCAGAAGTTCCGATGTTAATTTTAATCAACTGTTCTTACATCATTCTCTTGCCATGAGATTCAGCTCTTTCTTCAAGTTGAGTCGCGTTCCGTCTGTTGAGTGGTATATTGGCTGATTCAGCACACTTTGCAAATAATTGCTCATCTTCGGAAGCCTTTTCCGTGTGCATTTTCCAAATTGCATCGACGCAGTAGCAGCCAGATTTTGACGGCACGACGATATGCCTTTCGCGAACCATTGGCTGCATGTGAAAATTTCTCCTGTCGCCATCTTTTCAAAGATTCATGAATCTCCACATCATGCAATTCTATTTGGAAAGATTTTTTCGTTCTTAAGACTCACCTCCATCATCAGGACCGCCGTGAACTTTAACAGCGAAAGGAGATGTTATCACCACAATGGCAAGAAGCAGACGCGTTTGAAACATTCTGAATTTTTTTTTTACTTGAATATACTGTCTTCAAATTGTGTTCTTTCACAGACGAGAATCCGTATGAACTTTGCCGGGAATTCAATCCTATTTATACGCTTTACTTGGGAAATAATTTTCGAAAAATTGGTACAGAGAATTCAAGTGATAACGAACGGAAGTCACCAAGTTCAGGTCCCAATTTCATCAGAATTTACTGTCCGTTCTTCGGCAAATTTTCCGCATCGATGCATAGTCACTTTGAACAGTTGACATATATTTCGTTGTCCTTGAAAATAAAAAAAAAATATTAGAGTTGAACGCAGGAATAATTGTTTCCGATAAGTCATTCGATGTAAAGATTCCTAATTTACCAGCAGTCGGCAAAAATCCGTCGTCATTTTGAAGGTCGAATTCCCGTGGACACATTTTTGTCAAATCATCTCGTACTGTTTGTCGAAGGCTATTTGGCGCTTTTTTCTAACTAGAATCGGATGATTTTTGAAAGTTGCTTAGATAGAATTTGAAGTGATTTATAACAGGATTGAAACCAGGTTTTGCTTTGAAAAGTAATCGTCGGCTCAGATGCCGTACTATATTTCATCAGCCAAAACATGCACAATAAGATCTATAAGAGGTCTGAAAACAATCATTCGAAAGATCTTGAAAGCTTTTGAAGTCAACTGGGCTTCTGCTAATGAGCCCCTATCAATCACACATATCCCAGGGACGTTCAGAAATTCCTTCCTCCATATTGAGTGATAAAAACTGAAGAGGTGAAGAATCTATGCCGAATGTTTGAACAACCCAAATTAAAATAAAATCCTGTCCAAGTTTTATTAACATCCCCGTCCGAAGGGTAAAACGAACATTGGAAAACCTTGCGACGATTTTTATATGTGTTTATATTCCACTGAATGTGAAAAATAATTGAGTATCACTGGTTATTCGCAATTACGTCGATGTTAAAAATTATCGCAAGAAACTAACTTTAAACCCAATTAAATTATGGAAAATGAGTTTTGCCATAAAAGTGATAGCATCGAGGTGATTTCAGAGTTTGATCATCTTCAATTCATTCAACAACAAACAAACAAACAAAAAACACGGAAGTGATGAACCAGCTTTTAAAAATTGAATCATTTAGAGTGATATTTCCAAAACCAAAGGCAGAAGACAATGAATTATGATATCGGAAACTTCCCCGAAATTACGAAATAAACATTAGCTTTAATTGCGAAGTGCGGGTTTGGAAATTTAGAGCTCGTTTACCTTTGAATGTTTATAATCACAAACAAAATGAAGTTCATCATTATTCTACAAAATTTTACTCACTTGTTCGCGTGGATTTTTTAAAAAACAAAGAGCAAAAGACAGTAGATTCTGATCGCGGCTTATCTTCTAACATCTTCAAGTAGAGATATTCAGGAGCAGATCAAAAAATATGTCGTGGCGAAAATTTTTTCTCGAAAAGCAAACGTTATTTGGAGAAGTATTCAACAGACGCAATAATAAGCTCCACGTCAACATTTTGTTTTGTTTTTTTTTTTCAAAGAAAAAAATGTCTGCAAAAAAGCTTTCAACGCATCTTCTTTTCGAACGAAAATTTCTGAACAGCCCTGGGGGGAAGCCGGTGAACACCCTGCCAGGTGAACAGCCGTTACGTAAGTATAACGACAGTGCCGTCATCGACTTCGTGCAGTTGAACCGACAGCATCCAGCTGTGTGCCAGGCGTGTCGATCACACAGAAAAACCCTTCCTGAGACTTCGTCAGCATTGTTGTCACTGGCGACAAGTCTCGGTCGTCGTTACAATGCCGTCGTTCGTTAGCTGCCCGACGTCGCCAAGATTTCTTTGATTTCGGCGAGAGGACGCGTCAACTGGATCACCACGTCATCGTCGCGTCTCTGCAAAAAAATAAAGAATAAATATATAAAAAAGAAAAGAAGAACCAGGGTGCAGCATGACGCTCGTTATCCGGATCAGTTCGAAGTTGAAGCACATCGTCTTCGTTATCATCATAGGCCTATTGTGACTGGAATGACAATCAGGTACAAAAAGAAGAAACAGAAAAGAATCGACAGACAATCCAATCGTCAGAGCCGCACTCTTCTCATCATTGAAGCTCTTTCTATCTACAGTCCAACCTATCTAACTTGGATTTCAAGGGACCAGCCAAAAAATTGACTTATAGAGAGGTTTTGAGTTATAGAGGTTTGAGTTAGACAACTGAGCCTTTTTGTTGCGGAAAACATGCAAGAATTGCAGGAAATTTTAAATGGTGATATTCTGAGCCTGAAATTGCTTCTGAAATGAGTTGACCGGATGTTGAATATAATGAGGCAGGGCTTCATTTGCCCAATTTATAGTCTTTCACTTCCTTTCAAAACACATTAAATTCTATTTTTATTGCTTTTCTCTTTCCTGTGTCACAAAAATAATGGGCAAAAGACTTCTGAAAATTTTACTTACGGAGGTTTGAGAGGGAAATCCTTTGAGTTAAGGAGGTTTTCAATGCCTTGTTTCTAAGGGAATTCAGAAGGAGGCTTGAAAACAATTTGACTAAGGGAGCCGTTATATTTTGAGTTATTCATGTTCAACTGTATTTTGTGAGAACATATTTTCTCACCAGCAAGAATGGTTGTGAGAGCTTTCTTGTGGATGAAGCCCTACAGCCAAGTAAAATTATAAAGAAAGGAGCAAATATCCTTTTTTTCAAATCGATGAATCTTTGCAATTCTAATTCATAAACCTCTGTTCCAAATATATTCATTTTATGCGAATACAAATTGTTAATTTCAAAGGCGAGCCTTTATTTTTTTGTTACTCAACACTGAACTCAGCAAAAAAAGTTGCTTCATCTTATAGTACTGAACATTTTGCATTGCAAAAGGCAATGTCGGTGCCATTTAATTTTAAGAAACACCTTTAAAATTAATAACGTGTCATCAATAAATCAACGTAAACACATTTATCATCCACGCTAGTAATATAATATTTTTTAAAATAAAATGTCACGGAAAATAACCGTTCGCACAAATCAAACATTTCGTGCACAACAGGGCAATCCAATTCCGCACGTGCTGGGTATATTAAGTTTTTGAAACATATTTTTTAAACATTTTACAGCATTGGAAGTTCGTTAAAGAAGAGACAAATTTGAAGAGTTTTATAATTATCGGAATTATCTCAAAGTTCATAAGAAAAATAGTATGAAATAAATAATCCTTTGGCTAACGTGCATATTTTCCATGAGCTCTGCGAATACATAATTGCATAGTTATCCAAACTTTTTGTAGTTTCCTTGTCACAAAACCTTGAACAAGAAGCACCGGTAATATTCATTATACAAGTAAAGTATAGAATCTTCGACTATACAGTATTTTCAATTTTGGGCGACTACCACATTGCCCTCTGGATGACCATCAGAAGTTAACGTTGGACTATCCTACAAGACATTTCTAGAGGTCGCTTCTGTTGAATAGACACTGTTTCTTTTGTTTCCCTGCTTAAATGCTTTACAAGTCTGCCTGTATAATGATTGCGTTTGATTGAACACTTGTGCTTGTTTTTTCATCCAGAAAATTGAAAGCGAAAAATGTGTACAATAAGACGGAATTCCTGTCAACGAACTGCTCGATCTGAGCCTTCATAATCCGAGCCAAAAGTCTCAGTTCTGAGTCCTGACAACCCGGGGGAGTACGTCAAAATAAGTACATGATTAAAGAGATCTACAAAGCAATGGCAACTGTCCATTCTTCAGTACTCCACGGTACTTGAGTGCGCATATCGTAAATATATTGCCAGTTTCCTTCAGTTAAGCAGCAAATACCATATTCCTGATGTTGTTCTTCCGACGTCTCCCTGTTTATGCCGGCTGTAAACCATCATAGTTTAAGTTAGAGTAAACAGTAAAATCAAAGATATGTACTGTACTCTGTACATGACGGTAAAATTGGAATCCAATCAAAATTTGCTGTACAGAAGCTTGACAAGTACGTTTTGGATGATAATTTCGGGACTTCCGAAAAATTCTACAGGGTGATGACATTTCGACTTTATTTCGTCTCACTCTGTCTCCGGTAAATTAAAAATCTCTTGCTTTATGAAAATAGCCATTCTTCTGCTTGAATCTTTAAATGAAGGAAGATTACAATGCTTGAATTTGATCCCTCTACATTACTGTTGCAGATTATCATAATTTTTCGATGTTGATTTCAAATTGATCAAGGGGAATCTCATGCAAATCTTCTTACTCTATAATACTGAGTCCAGTTTGGTCATTTAAGGGATAAACTCTCTTTTGGAATCAAACTTGAACAATCACATACCGGGAATACGATATTCAATTGCTGGAAAGAAAAGCTGTGAGCCATCATGAAATGTAGCATCGCGCTTTAAAAATACGGTTGAAAAGTTTGGTACAGTGTTATTCATCAGCATTTGCTTCTGCTTTTCATTCACGCACATCCTTCATGAAAAGCATTCGAAATAGATGTCGCTGCTGCTGCTTGGTTCATTGAAGTCTTTCTCCCACAGCACATCACAGTATTCGCTCAATGAATCTCACAGCGCCCTTCAAACGAAGTTCGCCTTGCATGATGATTAACTAGGCAGATGGGTCCGGAAAGTCAAGTTTTAAAATGATCACAACCCCCCGCCAGAACCTTCTTCACATTCTAACTTGCTCACTGAAGGGGTAAAAGACAGAGATAAGAGGATATATCCGATGATTCCGAAGAGACTTTGAGAAACATGAAGGAATCTGACCGGGCATGAGGCTCATGAACTTGAGGCGCAATGCCAAGGATACGCATTCCGTTGGCAGTTTTTCAAAGAATTTGACGGCATATTTGACGCGAGAGGAGCGAATTAGGAGCAGCTCTCGACATTATAACAAATTAAGTTCAATTCGTCCTTGTCTTTCGTGCATCTCTTTCAAAGGGGAAATTTCTTCTCATCAACTACACCAGAGGACACAAAGAGTACTGTATTTGTTATTCCATTTTCAGTTCGCTCACCTGGAAAAGGGTTTCGCCCGGGAAGTCAACAAAGCCTCGCTTCCTGGCTCTCAGCAAAATTCCGACGACGTTTCCAGATATCACGGTGTAAGTCTGTGCAAATAAAAGGGGAGCACGCGATTAAACGAAGTGCCAGTCGATCCGGAAAAATACTTTCACGTTCATTTTCATCAAACATTTCAGATGAAAATGAAAAACAGCGTCGCACTCGTAGTTGATTTAAGGAGGCAGAAAAAAATTTAAGGTGAGGTACTGAGCTGAGGCAATGCAATATAAACAGTATCTTTTCACGACCATCATCAAGTTTTCCAATATTTTCTTTTCGCGGTTTCAAAATTTTCACGGTAAGGTGAAATGTGCACCCACAAAAATTCGCAGCTGGAAGACAAATTTCGAAATTCTCGTTCACACTTTGTTTGAAACCTTGAAGAAATATCTCAAGGACTGTTGGTAATGTGTATCCCGTACTTCGGAAAACTTTTTTTCCACACCGCCAAACCACCTTCTCAAATGCAAAATGGCCATGTTCACCTTTTTAAATGTAATGCGAGAAAAACCTTTCGATGAAAAAAAAAATAGTTCATATGGAATACATTTGTCAGCATCTGAAATTCAAGTACTGTATGAATTTTTAAATTTCCTGATACATGAGGTGTTCCATGGCTAAACGTGATATACACTAAATAAAACTTTAATTTAAACACGTCTCTGACCTGCATTACGAAATACGTGACCTCTTATTCAACCTTGGAGCTGAATTCGGAACTTATCAGTCCATGGCACAGCATATATACAAATATTAACTTGCTCTCATCCTGTTTGAAGCATGGAAAAGCCAAATGTGATACTGTAGTAAAAACCACGCAAAGTTTTGTACTGTATATTCCGTTGTTTTCAAACAAAAAAAACCAAAATAATAAAACGGCAACACGTGAGTCATGCGGGACTGTTTTGAAGTTTTCATCATGACATGTTTTAACTTATTTTTAAAAATGTAAGGGCATTCGTTTCACTCGAATTCATATTATACACGAACAAGGGAACGGTTTTTTATAGGCGCGTAGGTGTAAATAAATCCTCGTTTTTTTCGTGTGTGAAAAAGGGATTCTTTTCATTTGTTCCTCATCATTATTTCCCCTCTTTGTTGCATGCGGAGTAAAACAATCCTCTCAATTTTTAAAGCTTAGAATAAATATTTGAATTCTTCACTGTGTTTTGCCCCGTATTTTTCCCCCTCACCGTGGCTTCAACTGACGGTGTCAATAAACTCGTCTCGAGGTTTCGAACAGAAGGCATCCCTAACTATGGATGAGTCACGAACTCCAGCTAGTTCAACATCTCCAACACTGTACTGTATATCAGTTTTTTTTTATTTATTTTCCCAACTTCTGCCAATTGGATACAGCGTCTATCTGCAAGGGGCATGGCAGATCTTAAGAAGCATTGTTAATGTTACGGTAGAAATATGTACTGTACAATATATAGTATATTTCAGTCAGGAAGGTATTGTATAGGTACAGTATATTAACCCGTTCTTGGGGAAATTTAGGCCGGGCATTAAAATAGATTCAACATAGGGATGGCATGTTGAGTTTCTCGAATTTAAAGATATGTGAGAAGGTCCATTTGTAGTAAAATAAAATGTGTGCCATATCAATAAATAAATAAAAACTCCCGGTCATCAGTCAGGATAGTAATTAAGGTTCCACTCTTATGAACCCATTCACTGCGAAGTTTCCCCCACACTCATATTTGCTGGACTTCAGTTCATTAATAAATAAGTTACAATTTGAAAGTCAAAAGCTTGCCAATTAAGTAATGCGACGGAGTATTTTTATCTCTTTTGATCAATAAAAATATGAGTAGCCCATCAACTGCCAATCTATTCAGAACTAACCAGACTTGAAGGAAATACTAAAGTTTTGAATGTATCTGCTGTAGAAAGTACTTTTTGCAGTCCAAAAAGCATGTTCCATTTTTTTTAAAGAATCTGTGAGTTAGCTGAGAAAAAATGTTCTATGTAAAAACAAGTGAAATAATGTCAAATGAGGTTTCTGATTGTAGATAACTGCTTGGCAGAGCATATACACATTTTAAATTATGATTGTTTAAACGGTTTGTCATTTTGGTGGGAGACAAAAAGCACCTTATGAGTCCCAAATGGAGCCCAGGGCAGGGAATGAGTTTAAAAAAAAAAACCAATTTGTGAGGCCATGAATATCCTAGTTCATGAAATATCGAAATAAATATCGCCTTGCTGCAGCCTCAAAGATGCGGCCTAGATACTCAAATATATAAAAAAAAAAGTATACAGTATAGGCCGCATATAACCAAGTTTTTAAGGGCATGCTCTATTTTTACGCATGGCGCGTAAATACGATGACTAATATCTTCTTCTCTCTTCTCAAACTTCTTACAACACCGTTCTTGCGTATACACAGTCAAACTAAGTGATCTGTTTTCGTGAGCCAACCTTCGACGCTTTCTGAACGATGACATCGAGTTATGAACCCCGGTGTCGACCGACGCGGGATTTTCTCGACGTGCGGACGGCAGTTATTTTTAACGCGGAATCTACAGACTTCCTGTCTTTCTCCGGAAGGAAGTCGGGAGGAATTCCAGCGCGTGAAAATTGATCCGTCTCAGTCTTCAGAATGCTAATTCGACCGATATTCATTTGCTTTGAAATTCTGAAAATTGTCCTTGAGAATGGGTGCAGGGAATCTTTGACAGAGCGATAAAAAAAAAAATTCGTGTCCTCATTTTCATGAATAATTCCTCGCAGCCCAGAGTCTCCCACGAATGCCCCCGTAAATTGTGAACAGCAGTTGCCTGAAAAACTGTACTGCTACTCTTACTTTAAACTGATGACGTACGGAGGGGATAAAAGAGATTTCTCACACACCCGTAGGTTTTAGTGACAGTGACGAGCATCACGGGGCTTTTTGCCACCCAAACCTGCAGATGCAGTGAAAAGGTGTCGGAATGTCGGTCGCAGTTGGAACAGTTCCAAGACGCGTTCCATTCAAGTTATTGTTTACGCCGGCCGAAACGATGTTCTGGTTTTCATTCACACACACATTGAATATACAGCAAACGAAGTAGGATGATTCAGTTAAATACTAAAAATTTAAGCAAGGGTTCAAGTTTATTTTGCTGATTCAGACAAATGCCACTCAATTGATGATAGAACGAGCTGATACTTGATGCATTTTTTAAAAAGAATTTCGTCTCCCTTCGTTGAAGCCTCGTGCTGAGGTCGATGTACATGTAAATACATTTTTTAAAGAAGTACTATACTGTAATATACTTGATTATTTTCCGACCAGTATATTAGTACAGCAGTTGAAACATAAACAATGCAAGTAAGTGAGATACACTCATCATCACTTACAGGGAATAAGACGTACGACAGAAATTTGCACTTTTTAGTTTCCCCTGTCCCACAAAGGCTAAAATAAAATTTTAAAAACTTGTGCAGCGGAAAATATTTCCTATGTAACGCGCACGGATAAAAATAGATTCGATCTCTGAAATTTTCTTTTAGTCATGATGATTTTGAAGATTGGCCTAAAATTGAATCTCCACGCGACATTTCAACAAATTGAGAACTAAAATGAGAGAAATTTCTTTTGAAATTCAGCAAAAGCCTTGTAATACAGTAAAATCTCTCCCGAGGACCGGATATAAATTTGTACAATTACGATTCGAAATTTCGGAATAAGCTACTCGTATGATTCTGATTACCATTCTGCTTATCGTATATCGAGATGGTACATTCAATGCTGAACATATAAATGCCCCTTGCATGATTGTGTTCCATAAAAATCCGGAAATTGGTGGTAGCAAAGAGCCAATTGAGCTTCACACATTCCGAGAAAATTCGGAAAAAAGTACTGTGACTTATACCATGGATTACCAGGAGTCCGAGCCTCAAGGCCGCATCGATTATACAGCAAACGAAGTAGGATGATTCAGTTAAATACTAAAAATTTAAGCAAGGGTTCAAGTTTATTTTGCTGATTCAGACAAATGCCACTCAATTGATGATAGAACGAGCTGATACTTGATGCATTTTTAAAAAAGAATTTCGTCTCCCTTCGTTGAAGCCTCGTGCTGAGGTCGATGTTCATGTAAATACATTTTTTAAAGAAGTATTATACTGTACTTAATTTTTTTCCAACCAGTATATTTGTTGTAGTACAGCAGTTGAAGCAGAAACAATGCAAGTAAGTGAGATACACTCTTCACTTACAGGGAATAAGATGTAAGACAGAAATGTTCAATTTTTGGATTCCCTGTCCTACAAATTCTGCCAAAAAATTTTAAAACCTGTGCAGCGGAAAATGTTTCCTATGTAACACGCACCGATCAAAATAGATTCGATCTCTGAAATTTCCTTCTAATCATGCCGATTTTGAAGATTGGCCTAAAATTGAATCTCCACGCGACATTTCGACAAAGTAAGAACTAAAATGAGAGAAATTTCTTTTGAAATTCGGCAAAAGCTTTGTAAAAAATATCTACGGAGGCCCGGATATAAATTTGTACAATTACGATTCGAAATTTCGGAATAAGCTACTCTCGTATGATTCTGCTTCTCGTATTTCGAGATGATACATTCAACGCTGAACATATAAATGCCCCTTGCATAACTGTGCTCCATGAAAATCCGGAAATTGGTGGTAGCAAAGAGCCAATTGAGCTTCACACATTCCGAGAAAATTCGGAAAAAAGTACTGTGACTTATACCATGGATTACCAGGAGTCCGAGCCTCAAGGCCGCATCGATTATTGATTTGATTTATCGCGGTTAATTTTTTGTGTCGAAGGCCGCGTGAAATCAATGTGAACGATTCTCGGTGCTCTGCGAATTTCCCCATTTTCTTCCTATATATATATATTTTTTTTTCTGACCTGAAAGAGTTCCCCGAATGTTATCCACGAGGTTGAATCCTCTTCCGTGCATCCACAATCGTGGATCATTTCACACAGCGTTCTCATCTCGTTGTTGACAGACGCCTGAGCAGCTTTCCCTCGCTTTTCCGTTTTCGAACCTTCCAATGGCCTGTGAAATAACGAAAATTTTATTTATTCATTTATATAGTATCAGAATAAACATCAGGTCGATAGGTACAGTGTAAAAGACACTCACTTTCCATACGACGCGTCTGATTTGTCAAGTTTATTTCGATGCGAGGCGCCATCCCATGCGGAAAACGGATTGATCATCTGTTTTTCCTTGTGACTATCGGCCACTTGGTTGAACAAGGCTACTTTGTTGGACAAGCCTCCTGATCTCTTACAATCACGAAGACCCTGCCAAAAAACATCATATGTTTCTCGTCGTAATTTAAAACTGTTTCACGAAAGCCGGTGAAATACAGTTCTTGCTGGCGGAAATGTTGAGAGTTGATGCCGCACATTAATTATGACTGAAGTCGGACGCAATGTTCAAGCACGATCAAAAGCATTCATCAATCATTATAGGTAAGATTCTTGAATAACAAATGCAGTGCCTCTCATCGGAGAATGAGCAATCGTCAATTTTTGGGACTGATGACGCTAATCAGAAAACTAGTCACACCCAAGCTAAAAAAAAAAAAAAAAAAAAAAAAAACTGTTGTTTTCTTTCTCTCTGTTCGAATTAATAGTCCAACTGTTACTGCATAAAAGTTATAATGCGGAAATTGCAGAAAATATACAAGGTATGTTCATATTCCAAATTTCTTTATATCCCTTCGAATGGTCTAATCGTATAATGAATGACACTCCTTATTGTATTTGCCCTAGAAATTATATTTCATCTACATTTCAACAGTGATGTGAAGTAAGTGCGTGGACCGAATTAATAAAAAATTCAGTCAAGGCGAACTCAATGGGATTTTCAGCAAATGTTGAATGTGGGGTGGGAATTTTACTCCAGTTTCATAAACAAGTGCTTTAATTTTTATGAAATTAACGGGGTAAATTCAGTATATCTTGCAACAATGAACTCGTTCGTTCTTTAATCACGAATAATTATTACTGCTTCATATTATGTTTAGCGTACAGCGAATAGCCTATTCCGACATTTTGTTCAGGGCTCGCTGGAAAATGTCCTCATCGAATCCATTGAATAGAAGAAATGAAGTAACGAATGAATAAGCGGAAATGTGACCATTACTACATCAATAAACCTGTTTATTCGTCAAAACCATATTACACCAACAGCGCTTATCTTTGCTTAAAGATGATCCACGAAAGAATAAAAAAAAAGCAACTGACCTTATCATCTGAAAGTTTCCAATTCGTGGTACTCATCGTGTCCACTTCAATATATCCCGTCTCGGGAGTGCGACGAATGATTGCCTTCAAGTTTTCGGGGAAACGCTGCTGATAAGGTCCCAGTATTTTCCACGAAGAATTGACCTATTATTGCACAAGGCTGACAGGTCACCACCACCACCAGCAGCAGCAGCAGCAGCAGCAGCAGCTTTTCACCGCGGAGAAAGACGAAAACTGACGGTTTTCAAAAGCCAATCGAAGTGGAAAAGGCCGCCCTGTTCCCACCTCGCACGTTGGAAAGGAAGCCCGCCACGCGGCCGGGGACTCATCATCATCATTATCCAAGGGGAGAGAGGAAACCCGGCAACCTTCGTCAAGATCAAGGGGGGAGCCCACGCTGGTTTCCTCCCTTGAACCCAACCGAACTTCACCCCAACACCCGCCGCCCCCCATTCACCGCGCCATGCCCCACTGGAAATCACTTGTCACCAGCTCTTGTAGGGATGCACATCCTCTTTCTGGGCCTGTGGAAAAATACGTGGGTCAGACATTCCAATATTAAATTAAGACATTGGACTGAAGCCCTGTTTTTGGTGTTGGAACTTATGTGGTACTTCCTTGTTTGAAGCTCTGCCTCACGTAGTTATTAAAAGGGCTTCCCCAGGAATGAGAATTATTGCCAGCATTGAACAAGTTATAGTACTGGTGGACACCAAAGTAAATAAAAGTGCTGCGCCAGAAGTAAGCCTAATTCACGCTGTACTGTTTAAATATGCATGCACAACAACAACAAAATATATTCCAAGAAGTGATTTGTGATGGTATGAGACTTTGTGTCTTGTGAATACTCCATGGAATACTGAATGTTGTTCTCCCATTTACATTTCTCCGTAAATTGATTGATGGGTTTCCATGCCAACTTTTTTATTCAGACAGGTCCATTTCACTTCAAACTTCTTGAAGAATTGTATGAAAGGAAATATGCAGGATAAAATATGCCAAAGTACTGAACCAGATGAGTTGAAGAATTGAAATACTGTACTGTACTCCACTCACATGCTGCCACAAAACTGAGTGTTTAGTGACTTCCCCAGTCCCTAGCAATGCAAATTCAATTCCAGTCCCTTTTCTGTTCCAAATTGGAAAAATCCATAGCTTGTCCACATCATATGAGGACAATTGCCAGATCTGCCTTTATGCACAAAATCTTCAAACCCATATGCTGCTTCTCAAGTGCCCACAAAAGTTCCTGACAATGCGCTAATGTATGGAATTCCAAGGCTTAATTTGTGCAGGTATATGTCTTGAATTGACCCTGTCTCAAATTGGCACTGTTCTCAAAATAGTCCTGTCTCAAATGGTCTATTTTTATTTGTCCTAAATCCATGCTGCAGACAACTATTCTCTTTATGTGATGGTCATTATTCATTTATTTTGTTAATTTTGTTTGTTTGGTTTATTTTGTTAATAGGTGAACATTTTGGGACCTCAAAAGTTGTTCATTATTGCCATCCGCAAGGACTCTCTGCCTCTGTAATGTGGTCCTTGGCCACAAAAAAGTGTAGGAGTATCCATGTAGTATCCAGCTATGTAGAGATTGTAGACAAACCATGAGAAGGGAAAAATACCCCACTTTTTGTCCTTGGTGCCTTGTGTCCCCTTGGCATGAATCAGCAAACGTTTCTAGCTGGCACCCTGGAAAAATTAATTTCGTTTCTGAACACATTGACTGAGGTTGAGGGCATGCATTCAATCATCATTGCAGTCATTTGACAAGGCGAGAAATATGTGCCTTAGACCCGAAGACTAAGTCGCCGTTGGTGTGTATAAGGCTTTTAAATTATCTGAATTTTCAAATGACTGCTTGACCAGTCGTATACATGGAAAGCCGGGGGTTGTATCCAATATTTTGACAGGGTTAATGAAAATACGAATATTCTTGACAAAGCCCAAAAGTGTCTTTAAAGTTTAAACTGGGGATATGGGGTACTTTCTTATCAACAACAGCATTCAAGAAATTATGTATATTTGAAGATTTCTTACACAGGATGAGTTTTCCACCGAAAAACATAAATTGGATAGATTTCAATTTTTTGTAATACAAAATACTCCGGCAAATGTTCAGTTCATCTTTTCCCTCGCACTCCCGCTACGTTCGAAATTGTTTAGGTCTACTTCATCTGTATATTGTCTGAGCTTTTAAAATATAATCAACAACTGATGAATTTATTAGAAGTAATAAACACCAATACATATTGTCGGAAAATGTCCAATTATCTTAACTTTTATCGAAAGTTATCGAGAGTTACGCAGAGAAAGTAAGTACAGTATGAGGTGAAGGAAAATTCAATTTACAGTGGTACCTTGCTTATAGCGAATGCATTGCCCAACAAACAATCCACCTTGCAAATGCCAGGATAAAACAAAAATACAGTATTACTTGCCTAACACACATTGTCTTGCCTAGCAAAACATTTGCAATCACATCTTGAAAACCTGCCCATAAAATAATATTTTAAAATTTTGAAATGCTGTTGTTTCTTCCCCCTCAACAAAAATTCTTGTTTCTCAAACAGTTTTTTGAGGGAAAGAAAGAAGAATTGCAGGGAATCGTAATTGGTGAGGCCTTGAATAACTTCTTAAATGAGCCATTGACAGGATGCTGAATGTGAAGGAAAGGTCTCATTTGCCTCAATTGGTCTTCCACATTTGTTCAAAATGCATCAAATTACAATTTTATTGCTTTTCTCTTCCATGTGTCAATAAAATAATGAAAGGTGTAAAAAAGATATTTGGATCTCAAGATGTGACTCACCAACACTCGTTGCCTCATGCAGAAGAAACATTCACAAGAATTCATACTCAATAATACAGTGATTCCTCTTTTCCTATCTGTCACTTATGCATGAAGTACAATTGGTATGAATTGTGAGGCTTCTTTGTAAGTAAGAGCATGGCAATTTATTAAGGAAAAGCGTTTGAATGAACTACTGTACACCAGTTCTTTCAGAGATTTATTCTTTTTTTTTTTTGAAATTCAGGCAAAATTTCAAGTTTTTCTGCCAGATTTTTTGTTCAGAAACCATTTAATCGTTTTTACAGTACAGTAATCCCTACGGGAAAACATGACCAACTTTACAAGGGTCTCCCTAACAAATGCAGTCCTCGAATGGGTTGCGTTTGCTAAGCGATGCACCAATGTACAGCACTGTATTCGGAATTGACAAAAAATACTTCAGATGCGACATCTACACTCATTAGAAACGATTTTAAGCGACGCACTCAATTTTTTGATACTAGGTGATAATGTCATAATACGTACTCGTACTGTATAGTACGGACTCCCCAGGGCCTGGTACATGATCGGAGGCCACCGGGTCTAGCATATTAAATCTCCTTTCCGGTTATGGTACAGAATTTGAAAGACAGACAGTACTCAAATGAGCTTGAACAAGTCGTCAGAAAGACAAGAGATGGTAGAGATGAGTGCAATGAGGGCAGCCCCCATCCACAACCACAAGTAGTGTACCAGCCCCTGAAACCGACTCACTGGATTGGTGCTGCCCGAGGGCGGATGTTGTAGCTGGATGCGTCCAACGCTTTCCTGGTGCACTCAGCTCCAGGTCGTTTCGACAGTTGTGCGGAAGACGACGAAAATTACTGCCACACGTCTTCCGCTTGAACGCATCGCTTATGCAACGCAATAACGCGAACGTATATTACGCAGATGGCTTCTGCTGCCGAGCCCTGACCTTCTTTCCGAAGACGCAGTAACATTGTAATCTAGAATCTAGACAAATTTAAGAGCTGATCAAGAATGCTCCAATTTTATGGGTGCGACGAAAGACGGAGCTTATAGTGCGCAGAAAGCAAAGATGAATGGTTTGAAAGAAATAAAAGAGAATCCATGCATGTGGGGGTAAAGTTGAAGAAACTTCTGTTCGAACAACTTTCTATGTTGCGAAAGCATTTCGATCACGTCCAGGATGCGAACAGTAATAAATTCGAAAAGAGCGAGGATAACTGACCGGGTTTTTTGCACCTGCAGAATTTTTTGTGCCAACATTATCAGCTGCCGACCGCAAAACCGCATCGTGCATTTCCAAATACCCGATGCTCCTCGTAGTACCTGGCCTACTTATAGCTGACTCGTTTTTATCCATATTTAATAGAATGCATGCACGTGAGTGAATTGTATAATTATGAACAGTTCACAAGCAAATTATAATTTTCCAAAAAGAACTTGTGAGCAAACATCTATGAAGGAAAACTGTTTTCCCGTCAGTTACCGCGCTATAGACGTCAGTCCTGTCACTTGAAAAATTAAAATAATCAGTGAAAATGTGCAATGTCCAATAAAAAGCGCATTAATATCCCTGACCAAATGTTTCGATTTTCTTCGATAATGGAAGAACGTGTTTCTTTATGTTATTCTGGTCCTCGCACCCATTTTTCGTGTATTTCAATTATGTAACAAGTTATATAACAAATACCTTATTTAGATTTTTCGTGCGGCTCTGAATTTGCATTCTTTTCTTTCAACGCAATTTTCTCGTGTATGCAGCATACCGTTGGGTCTTTTGAAAATAGAACACTGCAAAATTCGTGAGAAAATGAGAAAGTCAGAGCAGTACTGCGGCTATATCAACAATCAAATCAAAATTGTCGCTGAAATCCCATGTCCTAGTGGCCCACGGGATTTTTGTTGTTGTTTTGTGGAGCTCCTGTGTACTGTTTATAGGTGTTGCAATGAATAGCATTTTTTCACTCGTTTTGATGACATTTTCCGGACACTTGATGAGCAGTCGCAGAAAACGAATTCAGCAATTTTAAAGGAATAAGTGATCCTTATAAACGGTATTCACGCAAAGTATGCATTTTTCTGAACATGTTTGGTCAAATCACACCACGTCCTCAACTTTTTTTAATCTTCCCTCTCAACTTAAGATAGTCTTATGTAGAGCAAAAAGCTTAGTCATATGTCATGTCGTCGGTAAGTTCCACAGTCTATTTTTATACTTCGGCTGGGCATATTTATATACCTTTCAATTGGGTAAAAATTTAAAGCTTAAAATTTTGTAATTCGTTAAAAAGACAAAAAATTCCACTGAAAACAGGGGCGCGCTCGTCGAGCGGCGAAATGCTTCTTGCCGAATTTTCAGCAAGAAAATCGAGGCGCGAGTCTTGTGCAAATACAGTAGCTTATACCTCCTTGAGCAGTATTGGCTGTTGTTCCTTTTTGGCATTCGGGTGAGAAAGGAACTTGAGTTGGTGCTTGTTTCACCTCCTGACCTTTACCACAGTTTCAACCCTCCCTCTCTTCGTTTTTTTTTTTCTTTTTTTCTTTTCCGCCAGGTCAGCATTGGTCCTCTCAAGTGCCGCCACCCTCGAAAAAAAAACGCGACCTTGTCTCTCAAAAATTCCTCAGTATTCGGGGTGCGGGCACCAATACG